TTGTTTCATTAAGCTCCTACAAGCCACCCAATTATATAACTCAAATAAATGAAAATTACTTCAAAATCCTACTTATTTTGTTAAAACTCTGATGAATTTAAATCAGTTGAGATGGGTATTTAGGACTTCTGTGAATAAAAGTTGCCCTAAATGAGAAAGTTTAGTGGATACTTCAGGAAGTTAACTAGTTATATTTTGTTCTGTAGGTACGATGAGGTACGTTCCTCATCACGTCAATGAGGATTAGAGTAGATAGGAAAGACTTTAAAGTTTTACTTAAAGGTGCTGCTGTGGGCATGGCAGTCTTGGGTGCTTTTGACTAACATAAACCAAGTCCTTTTTGGCCTAAATTGAATAAAATTTGATCATGAAATAGTATAAATCTCTTTTATGGTAGAATGTCACACAAGGAACAAACAAACAAACAAAAAAAAAAATCAGTAAAATGTTTGCTGTACAGCTTGCTCTGACTGAGGTGACCTGAGTGTCTTGATCTCAGTTTAAGAAGACTACTCCTAAACACATTGGCAAAGCTGGATACACGGACGTCACCAAGCCTTTGAACTTGCAGACACAGTAATGCAGGGAGGTACTTTGGCTTGCAGCTAACCTCTGGTGAAGGAGCAAGCTTTTGCTTCCGGACATGAGCGAATAAATTGCAGAATTGCTTTGTGACATCAGCAACTACGTCTTGATGAAAGGAGGCGTCTAGTTAAGCCAACTGAAGAGCTGATAAACTCTTTGTGTAGAGGAGAGGAGAAAGAATGTAGAGGAGGGTTGGAAATTCAAAGACAAAGGCAAATTCAGAGAACTGAAAAGACAAAGCTGTGAAAACTGTCCCGTATTTCAGAGCCAAACAAGAAGAAAAGCCATGTAGGAAAGAGCTCCATGTGTTGCTGGTTGAATAGCTGCCTTCAAAAAGGATTGCGGTTGAGCCAAGGGTCCACAGGATGCATGTGCAGACATATGGACCGACAAAGAAACCTTTATGCCAAAAGTCATGGAGCCAAAGGAAGCCAAGAAGTCAAAATGAGAATTGCTAAAGGTTGAGTGGAAGTTTTCATTTTCTTTACTCCAGTATGTTTAAAACTAAATAGATTTTTTTTTTCTTTTTTTTTTTTTTCACTTACCAAAGAAGGATGTTTTTGGGGGGAGTAGAAGGTGATCCAGACAGTTCTGGAAGTGTTGAAGTAAAATTAGTGGCAAAGATGTAACAAATCTTGAAGAGATTCGTTACTGACGTAGGCGGCCATGGAAAATAAGAGGCAATATATGCGTTTACTAAAGGAAGGCCGCAGCAGAGAATAAATAATTTGACTTCCCCCCCATACCAACATGGCTACTTTAAAACGACAGAAACACAGTAGGCCTAATCTGGTCAATAACTACTAAAACACTTTCCATCTTTAGAAAATTACTGGTTAAACTGGAGAAGGTGGAGATTTGTTGTGAATGGCAAATGGAGATGATTAGTCTGGAAGGTGGTTAGTAATGGGATTTCTCAGAAATCTGTCTTGGAACTAATGTTAATATTTTTATTTCTGAAAGATGCATGTGTTACAAAATTTAGTGATACTACTGCAAAAGAAAGGTTAAGGTGTCATATATGAGGAAATAAATGACTGACTCCTACTGATAAGTGGTATGAAAGTGCCAGGTACTTCTGCTAACAAGCTAACGAATATTTTGGGGAATAAAAAAACTTGGGAAGTATATTTTAATCACCAAAGTGGAATCCTCTGCAAGTGGAGCATGTAGTTCTGCAACAGCTGCAGGGAAGAGCTGATGGGTTGATCAGGGAAACAACATAAAAGCCTGAAAGAGTGGGTTTTGTTTGCATGAAAAATAGAAGATGGAACAGCAGACAAGACTATTATCTTAACATGATCTTTCTCCTCAAAGTGAATGTGTTTAAGTGGGGCAAGTATAAATTGAGTTTGGAGATTACATGAACATTCCTAAATCTCCAGAAGATGAACTTCTGCCACAGCCTTGCAGCTGGAATAGGGACAGCAGTAAGGTTTGTTTTGGGTTTTTTTGTTTGTTTGGTGGGGTTTTTTTTTGGGGGTGGGGGGGGTTGTGGTGGTGGCAGTTTTGGTTTTGTGGTGGGTGGTGTTAGGTTTTTTTTGTTGTTGTTGTTTTGGATGAAGTTGGATCAATTTCTGCAAGGCGTTACTGCTTAGCTGCAAAACCATTAACTACCTGATGACCTGATAAATGCTTACAATTTTGTGTTTGGATATTTATGGTGACTTTTACGGCATTGTGAGTGTACTTTTGAAGACATCAAGAAATCCCACTTTAAGGTAGGAGGGTAGTCTGTAACCAAGAAAAATGAATTTGGACGAATGTTATGAACAACATAGATAAAACCTTTCAGTTTTTGATGTAAATATGTCACATCATTACTGGTATTGGTATCAATGAGCAAGCTAGTATTAAATATTGGTTTTCATCTTCATATATTGGGAAAGAACTCATCACTTGTAATTTGTTAAAAAGCGTATAATGCATTATTACCAAAGGTGGGAGTTGGAAATGAGGGACTTTCTCTGCACTCCTATCAGTTACTCCGTTGCGATGGAAGTTCCTTGGAGGATCGGTTTGGCAACAACAGTGAGATGCGGTTGCCAACAAAGGACGGCACAGAATCCTTTTTATGAGATTTTTATCACATGGTGTACTTGGAAACCGGTAATTTAGATGATCAGGTGTAGAGTTACACAGCTTTGGCAGAGATTTTATAGGTGCCAATTTTGAGTGTCCTGTCCACATCCTTTCTTCACTTGCTATGGTAGGGTACAGATGTTCATGGCCAAGAAGATGTTCAAAACTGGAATAGCTACAAGCTAGTATTGAGATACCTGGACTAATTTTAAATGGACTGGTTAAGGTCGAAATAGCAAGTCTTGCCCGAGGTCTCTGCTGGGGGGGAAATGCTGGGAATGCTGGGAATAATGCTGGGAAACCAGCATTATACAGCCATCCCTTCTGTCACTGGTGTGGCAGTACCCACAGCTGTGTTATTGTCTGCTAATTCTGTGGGATGTCAGAGCTTCTGACGAGAAACTTTTTAACGGCTCGCTCTCGGGTGAGGAGTCAGATGAATCGTGAATGTAGACGAGATTCTGGGTCATCATTTTGTAGCAAGTTTGCAGCAAAGGACACGCGGAGTTTTGGCAAAAGTAGAAAAGAACATCCCGTCCCTCTGTAGTGTACTTAGCAGGGAAGCTGAATGTAACAGCAGTCAGTGTAAGCCATCAAAGGGTTTATCTTGCCATTAGGAGCCCATTATTTTTAAGTGTTAGGAAAACTGACTTTCTTCTTTTTGCAAAAGGTTGAGAGGAGATCTTGCGAAGGTTTGTAATTCCAGGGGCAAGTAGGAGAAGACTTGAGAAGACTAACTGACCTCATATCAAATACGGGAATAATTTGCCAAGAATTATATGTCGTTTATTTTTTATCTGGTTTATTTTTATTTTTTTTTTTTACATTTTGGAGAGTTTGTAATGTGGAAACCTCTGGCAGCCTTTTTCAGATATTATCTGATTTAGTATACTTTAATTACTCTGCTAGATATGATATGAATAAAGAAGGGACATTTTTAGGGGAAAAACGCTTGTGGGAATTAAAATCCGGAAAGGATGAGGAAGGAGCTTGCTTTAGTCTCAGGAAACGCTACATGCTTTCGCTGCTGTCTCTCACAAGAAAAAGCTGCTGAGACTTCTATTTTGACACTTTTTTTTCTTTTTAGACAAAACATGATTTCTCCAATCGAAAAGACAACCATCGTGTTTTGACTGCACCATTGATTGTGTGAAGGATTTGTTATATCAATGCTGCTGGAATAATTTGGGGGACCTTGGGAAATCACTTAATGGAATTTGGTCCATGTGTGCGTAGTCTGACTTTTTTTGCTAGAGTAATTGAAGATGCTGCTTAATAAACTTTTTATAAAGATTCCCAGTTGGTTGCTGCATTTCAGAGGGTTGTGTGTGAGCACAGAAGTAATACATCTTGTAATTGTCTTTTTTTCCTCCCCACCTCACTTAAATATTTTCCCTGGGGAAGAATCTAATGTACTATAATGCTAGTACCTTTTACAAAGTGACCCTACTCATTATGATTTGTTCTCTGAAGCTCCCTTGACAACGTATAAATGCACTGAGAATACTTAAGCTTCCTCTCCATCACTCTTTCAAAAATCTATTTGAAAACCAGTGTTTCATACTGCTATTACTGTTCAGAGTTCCCTACGGCTGACTCGGTGTTCAGTGTCACAACACACATGCAACAGATAAGTTTTATTAGCTAAACAATTAATATCTGTGTATTTTCATGAAAATTACATACAATGTGCTTATATCAAGCACTATAGTGAAGATTTCAAATATATTTATGGTTTGTGACATACAAATGTTGAACATTTTCTGAGGTTGGAGTTGCCTTTACTAGCTCTGTTGTAACACTAGCTATTTTCATCTCATCCTCTCAAATCGCTTGGAAAGGTTTATTATGGTTTTTCTATCTTTTTGTGCCTTGGTAAATAGATGCAGTATTTGGGTTTATGGTGCGTCCAGAGGCAAGAAAGCATTATCCCAGTGCAGAAAAGAATAGAGTTTTAGCGGGAAGTTGAGTCCCCACTGACTGCGGGGGTGAAGGATTTTCCTGGAAAAAGGGTTTCTTGGAAACAGAACAAAACCAACCGAGCTCTGTGCATATTCCTGCTCCTTAAAAATATATTTTCATAAAGCTGTTGAATTAGTTGTATTTTGTAGGATTTAATGAATAGTGATACTAAAGCTTATGGCTTTTGTGTGTTCTGATTTTGACACTTCAATCTGAAATAAACTTTTGGAATTTTTAGTGAAAATTTGTATTTAGGAGTTTTGAGAAGCTGATAATAGCAGTGACTGCTTTTAAAATGACTGTGCCTATGTCCTTTTAAACTACTTTTGGAAAAATATACTTCAATCTGAATTTCCCTTCACCTTCTGTAGATTGAAACAAGAACAAATGTATGTACGTGATGAGTTTGGCAAAATTCTGGAACGAGAAAGGATTTCTTCAAATGAACATTTGACTCGAGCCATTCTTCGAGAGAGAGCTGCAACAGAAGAGGAGCGTCAGAAGGCACAGCGTTTTGTAAGTTCAGAAACTTTTATAGAAGGCTCAGATTTTTCAAGCGACCATATCTTCAGCCTTGTTTCAAACTATTGGTTCAAGAGGAAAGCAGATTTCTTCTTGTTATTTGTTTTTTCTTTATTACTAGTTAATAGTATGTAATTTTATTTTATTTCTTTTTTTTGGTCAAATATCTATGTCTTAAGAATAGCTGATTAGAAGGAGCCTAACTTTTCTGAAGGATGCAAATACATGTCGTCTTATGTGTGCAGATAATATTAAATGTCTTTTTTTTCAGAGAGTGGAAGAGTAATACAATAGTCTAGGTCTAGTTACTAAATTTGGTTATTTTATGTTAAGAAGTTACAGAATACAAGGGAACATTTCTAGAAATTAATTACTTCATATTCAAAGGAAGTCCATAATATTTCTGGGCTAGAAATCTGGCTAACAATAAGAATTAAAAAAGTATCTTTTTTTAAGTCTCTTATGTGCTAGAAAACAACAATAAAAAAATCTAACTTTTGATGATTGTCTCAAATCTTGGAACCAGCTTAGTGAAAAATTCCATATCAAAGAATCATATTTCATTAGAGCTGATGTATAAAAACTTCCTGACAAGGAAGTTGTAAAATATGGGTGGCTATTTTCCTCTGAAAACTAACACTGAATACTTCAGTTCATTTCAAATGTCTGGCAGATTTATAAGTTCTTATATATAGTAGTTGCTTGCTATATTGAGTCTGTATTGACTCCTCTTCGTAACAATCATCATTATTTCTCTGAGTTATGAATACTTTTTTTTTTTTTATAACTTGAGTATAAATAGTAAAGAAGTTGGTATTTTCAAGAAAAAAAGTTTAAAATGCTTATGTGAACATTGCTATGAAAATAAATTACTTTTGTCGGCAACTATCTAAATATTTGGCCCTTTGTATCTGAAATCAAATCAAAGCTTTCTTAAGGTTTATTTGTTTCTAACATAGTAAACCAGTCACTTCAATAAGCAACAGCTTTATGCCGTGTAAGTAAATATCTATTGCCCATGTTATTTTTCCAAATTGCAGTTTAAAACCAAACAAATTTAACCTAAGTACACCTGAGCATTAGTATCTTTTGCAGACATTTCCCAGTGCTTTTTCACCTCTATGGTAATGTTATTATTGAAGAATGATTACGGTATGGTAAACAAATGTTTAATATTTTGTCATTTTAAAATATGGGAACAAAGGAAAATGGAGAGGAATAATGACCAAGGTACAGCCTTAGTCTTATGCCTTTAAACCCTTGGATTCTTAGTATTGTGCGAGAGAGATAAGGGTTTTGTGGCCTCAACCTAATGAGAAGCTGAAGATTTATAATGGGGAATATTATTTGCATAATTACCAGGGGGTTTACGTGTCTCACTTACTACTGTAGTTAGCACTGTGCTTTTGAGAAGCACATGATGCCTTTCTCATCAGCCAAATGCTTGAGAGATTTCTTATTACGGATATCAAACTGGTTTATTTAGCCATTATGTCAATTTTATTGTTAATTTTTACTTACTCTGGAATATTTAAGTTAGTACTGACTACGTGAAGCAATTGAGAATTGCTGTTAACTAATTTTGAACCTTATCAGCCTGGGGAGTGGTGTTTCAAGGTGTATGGTGTCGCTGCGTGTTGATTTGGAAGAAGAACATACAAATGGTGCTAATGAAATGAAGGAAGCACCTTAAAATCCTACAGGATGTCCCCTCACGTGGAGGACAGTATGAATTGCTGCCTTTCCGTGGTGACAGCATCCCGGCGTGGCATTTTAGAGCTGACTACCAATAACATGCTTTTGTGGAAGCATAGGCATGTCAGGGCAAAGATTTTGCACATCAGAAGAGAACCAAGGTATCTGAGCTCTCCTAGTGAGTTATGTATCCTGGCACAATCATCTCGGTTTTGATCATCTTACGGTTTCAATCTGTGAAATTTTAGAGGTTCTTTGGTGAAAATTGCTATGCACATTTGCTATTGCTGCTGCGAATTCATCATTCTTTGAAGTGTACTGTAAGATAATGAAGTAGCAAGTAGGCTTTGTGTATTTGTTTCCTTAAAATGGTCTAAACATTAAAACATTGAGTAATTCTCACCTTCCTTGCAAGTCCTTCTATAAATTGCCTCCTTTATTTTCCTGTAGCTGGTCAGTTTTTATTGCCTTGATTTCGTTGCTTATGCTAGCTGTTTATTTGTTTCATGAACCCAAGCTGAATTTATAAAATCCGTAGCACGGGAGGATATATCTATGTGTACCGTTTGTCAGGCAGAATGAGTAAACTGCTACGGTAGATTTGTATTTTATGTAGCCCGGATTTGATCTGCCAGATTCTTTTTTTGAGAAAAAAGAGTGTTTCTGAAATGTCAGTAACATTATCTACAAATTAATTCCTTTGCTGCTGCTAAGTTGTTTAAATAGTGCAAAGGAAAAGAAATTATGGTAGAAAGGAAGAATTTTATTTTTTCTTTATAAAGGCTGCTAATTCAGTTTTAATAAATAGACATAAAATTGTTAGATTGAAATATTTGCCATTCTTAAACAATTTTAATGCCAGCTGCTGCTTGTAGTTTCAGAAAGAAGAAATTTTTAAATGTTAACACCCCAAAAGTTAGCATAAACTCTTCATACAAATGAAAAAAATGGATAAAATGAAGCTAAACCAAACAGCTAAATAAGGAAAAGCTTTGCAGTTAACAAGAACTACAGGAAGATGTTGTTTGTCTCTTAAGTGAAAGTACTCCACTTCTCAAAAAAAGAAACCTAAAAGAAGTTGGCAGCGGTTGGACAGCAAGGCAAGGTAAAGAAGGAGGACATCCTTAAAAAAAAAACCAACTGAAATAATTTCAAAATGAGCAGAATGAGGAGGGTTGTGACATTTGTTAGGCTAAATGTTAAAACCCAACCCTGCCAAAAAACAAGTATGACAAAAAGGATTTTAAAGAATAATGAACAAAAGGTATAAAAGCTAACATGCGCACACCTGCTCACCGTGGAACGAGGATCCTACCAAAGACTGTAGATCCAGGAACAGATTGGGGAGTATGAGCAGCGCATGGAATAGAGGAGGCCATAGCGGCAAAAGACCCGAGTTAATTTTTTTCACGTCTCTTCAGGATGGAGGAACTTTTGAAAGTTCATATGTCAAAACTTTTTTTTGCAGAGGTCTCCTCAAACAAGGTCTCAGATCTGAAATTTTGGTAGAAAACATTAAGGAAAATCAACAGTTTTACCTATAACAGCTCTTCAAGCCTGGATGGTATTCATAAAAGCTCTGAAAGAAATTTGGAGATGATAGATGAGCTAATGATAGCTGAACTACTTATGTGCTGTGTAAGCTGTTAGGGAAAGCTCCCTCAGTATAAGTGGACTGGACAGTGGCTGATGGGATGTCACTTCTTCAGAAACAATTTTTGGGGAGATCCAGAGGTTTACAAACCAGTAATTTTGACGTTTGTACCAACCAAGGTAGAAATTACAGTTTAGAGTGGAATTTCCAGACCCTGACCAAAGCCCTAGAAATCTCTTGTGGAGTCAGTGTGAGGATTTGTTCAACTGTTGATGCTTAATTTAGCAGAAATAAATCCAACTGCTGTTGATTCCTGTAGTAATGCCTTCAGATGTCATTGACTTTGGGGAGTATTTCAGACATAGCCTAACTTTCCTTATCCCACAGCATTTAGTGGGATAGTCTTTAAAATGCGATGCCAGTGGGACTCGGTGTGCTGAAGAACTGGTGAGGTCTTGCATCTCCTCTGGCTTCTCACCCATCTGTGGCTGTGTGATCCTGCTGTCTCCATTGCAGTAGGGCTGATACTTGATGCTGAAATGAGCTGACTTGGGAGAAGTTCATTAGTTCATTCTTGTTTTCTTTTTGTTTTCTTTTTTTTTTTTTTTTTTCCTCCTGTCTGGAAAATGATGTGAACTAACTTATTTTGAAGGGTCAGGTGTACGTCAGTGTTAGGTGTAAGGGATGCTTTGCTGATGAAGAATTTCTTTACCTCTTTTTCTATCCACTTTCATCTGCAGTGCAGTTCACCTCCTTTTCTGTATCGTCAGTGCAGATGATGTGGACCGAAGCAAATGCATTACAAATCCGTCCTGGAGGCCTTATTCAAATGCAGATATGCCCACAATCTGCTTTATAGCTTGACTACAAAAATGGCTGAATTAAGGAAATTGCAAACTCTCTATTGAGGTCAAGTTGTTGAGGGAAGAAAATGAAACTTCTTGAACTGCCCTTGCCACCAAAGAGAGTGGTTTTGTCCCTTTAGTTTTACCTACAGTCAGTTTTGAGACATGATATTTGCAAAGTGTCTCTCAGTGTTTTCACCAAAGTACTGTGCTTAAAGTCGCACGTGAGACCTACCTGTAGCAGTGCAGCTGATAAAAATTTCTTTCTTCCATACTCTTAGCAAGTATATGATATTTTTTTCTGCCTATCCTTCTTGAAGGAGGACTTAATTTATTATGAAGTTTTTTATTTCAGTCTAACCATAAAGAATTTCAGTACTGGTGTGGTCCACTTTAGCAAAGACTGGACCGGTGTAGGTGAAGGTCTCAAGCTTCTGACTGCTCCAAGGATACTTGTATTACGTGTTACTCACACAGGCAGCAGACCTATCCTCCTTTGCAGTATTTATTGCTGGACATCTTTACTGTGCATCTAAAAGTTGTGGATAGTTGAGTTGGGCATAGTCTTGTTGAGTGGCTTTAAATGTGGTAGCTTTGCCATAAATAGCTTATTGACGTTCCATCACTTGAGTCATTATGTGAGTCAGGGTGAGACGCAGAGAATATGGAGTAAAAAAATCAATAGTTATCCAAAGTGCAGAGGACCTGTTGTATTTCCATCTCCTTATAATGACCTGGAGTTTGCTGTTAACATATTTGCTTCACTGTCTGGACTGAAACGAGCTGTCATTAAGATCCTATATGTTAGAAAATGGTTTTATTGAGCTGCCAATGACATTAAAGTCTCATTTCCCTTTGAA